GGAGTTATAAATTGCGCTGGATCAAAATTGCTGATCACTCATTCATAAAAGTGAAAACTCACACAGTATTGCAGTACTCCGATTCATTGGCCAGGCTTTGTATATGCAAAAGCAGTCCTGAAAGACATACATAGAACCGCAGCAATGAAGGATCTGTCATTGTAATGAATGAACAAGCAGTACTGATTGCTCATTCATACTAATGACAGATCATTTAGCTTAGAAGGGGGGTGGGGCTCTGCTGATTGTACCTCCCCCCAACAGGAACACCAACAATATGGGTTTCAAAAGAGAGTGAAGCTACAGACAGGCTATAGACATGTTTTTAGGGGACAGGAGTGCCACCGATTAGAACAGCACCAAGTGTTACATGCACTTGGGCTTTTGGGAAGGAAAAAAAAAAAAAGCTTAAAAGTAAAAGCACAAAAATGTAATTTTCTTCCTCTCTAAACCTATCCCAACTAAAAAAAAAAAACCCTCCAGAATGGCATACTGCACACTGCACTCCTGGGGCCTTTACGGCATTGGAAGGCGGTTACCTAAACCTAAAAGAGACAGCTTTCTCCTGATGATATCATGGAGGAAGAATGTGTTGCAGGACCTGTGCAGTGGCACCAGAGAGGAGAATTGCAGCAGAATAATGCTGGATCTCCAGTCAACAGGTATGTCAGTTGTGGACAACCCAGGATCAGGTAAGCAGCAGTTAAAAAAATAAATATGAGGGGGGGTTTGAAGTTCCTGTTTGAGGATACTGTAAATGTAAACTATTGTTATTCATTTTATACTGAGTTGCAGTTTGCACTATCTATTCTATGCTACTTTGTAGGACAAACCTATTTGCGTGGTGAAGGAAGATTTGGGTCATGGGGTCAGGAGTGAGCCCCAGCCCCTTCTGATTTGCATACAATCCACAGCTGTGAATCTAGAGCAATGTTTCTCAACCTTTTTTCAGTCAAGGCACCCTTTAAAATTATGGTCAGTCCCGAGGCACCCAATTCTAAAATGTGAAAAACGATTCTAATAGTTTTATATAACGCAACATCCACACATGTAGGACACCCAACACTAGAGGTGATTTATTCTTCCAAAGCAAAATACACTTTTGCACACTGGTACTGACTAGTATGCCAATGTTTCTCTTCTCCCTCTGTTTTTCTCCATCACTGAGCTAATGTGACCCCAGCACTGATGGAGAGGGGCAGGAGAGGGGCAAACTAGGATGCTGTGGAAGCAGCTGACATCCTCCTTATCAACTGACGTCATTGGTTGTCAGAATGCCGGTGGTTAGAAGGTCTTAATGTGCACAATGAAAACCTGTGACTTTGTGTAACTAAAAGGCAGGCTTGTTCCACCTGCTGGCTTGTATACAAGTTTTGGGCAATTTGTAGACATTTTGCCAAGGCACCCCTGAAGAAACCTCAAGGCACCCTGGTTAAGAAAGGCTGATCTACAGAATTGTGTTCCTTGGAATTGTTTGAGAGAGAGAGAAGCAGCTTTCTTCGCTCTCTCACTCCTCACAGGACAAAGCGGCAGCAGTGGGAACCATTGGCTCCCACTGCAGTCAATCACATCCCGTGAGAAGGAAGCAAGAGCAGTACCAGGCCATGCTGCCTGTGTCAGTTGACACAGGCAGCGCGGCTCTGTATTGAGCCTGCACAAGTGCTCCCAAAGGAAGTGACTGCCTATGGTGGCACTTGCTGAAGAGGATGAGCCAGGCAAGGACCCCAGAAGAGGAGGATCGGGGCTGCACTGTGCAAAACCATTGCACAGAGCTGGAAAGTATGACATGTTTACAATTAGGAAAAAAAAGTCTTAAGGGCTTCTTCACACCATACGTGCATTAAAACGGACACGTAGATTTCACTTGCAGAGACACAAGTTTACATCAGTTTTCATGCATGCTTCATAAAGTTTTATACACATTGCAGATTCCTGTGCAGAAAAAAAATCTGCACATAATACTAGTGTTGTGGTGGAAACAGGGCACATAAAGAACAATTGATTTTGTTGTGATATCTCTGCACCATGGCATGAACAAGCCCTTGAAGGTTTACAATCGCTTTAAAGTAATAAAGGTCAATACGTTTACACTTGACAAACCAGCAATGAAAACATGACAGATGGTCTTATCCCTCTACAATCCAAAATGAAAAGAAAAAAAAAAAAGAAAAGTTTTTTGTACACTAACTTTAATGCCATTATGAGCATCCTGCAGGTTGATCACCTCTCCGCTGTTTGTTTCATGTTTTCTGTTTGATGTTATGGATGCTTTCTAAATTGGCACGATTCTAGTAGTGCAGCCAATCAGAATTCCTTTTTCTACAGGAACCTGTAGTGTTGATTTACTAAAGGAACAGAAACTGTTCACCTAGAAAAATGTGTTCTAGTGAAAAAGGTGTACCTTGACTCACTTTAGGATCCCAAACATGTGGAAAGAAAAGTTCTGTCTTCTAAATTTCCCTCACATGTGAGTCATTGGGTATTAAAACTAAACAAAGGTTCACTTTTTTGAACAGCCTTTATTGTTTTAGTAAAGTTCTGCCTTCTAAATTTCCCTCACATGTGAGTCATTGGGTATTAAAAGTAAACAAAGGTTCACTTTTTTGAACAGCCTTTATTGTTTTAGTAAATCAACCTGTGTGTGTTCTACTTTAAGAATGAGGACACAGCAGAGGCTTAAAATGATTGTAAAAGGCATTTTTTTTTTTCTTTAATAACAAACATGTTATACATACTTGCTCTGTGCAATGGTTTTGCACAGAGCAGCCCCAATCCTCCTCTTCTCGAGTCCCTCACCAGTGCTCCTGGCCCCTCTCTCCTTCCAAGTGCCCCCACAGCAAGCAACTTGCTATGGGGACACCTGAGCTGCTGCTCTGTGTGTTCACTCTCTCCTCATTGGGTCACTGGCTGTGACTGACAAAAGGGATAGACCAGGGACAGCCGAGACTCTCGTGCACATAGGTGGTTTGAGATGGGGCTCAGGTACGTATTGGGGGGGGCTGCTGCACACAGAAGGTTTTTACCTTCATGCATAGAATACAGAAAGGTAAAAAACCCTCAGCCTTTAAAACCCCTTTAAATATTGAAATACCGATATCAGATGATGTGCTCCTTGAAGGTAGGGACTGGTATGAATGTATAATATAATGCACTGTGTAAACTGATGGCATTATATACTGTATTTTTTGCTCCATAAGACGCACCTAGATTTTAGAGGCGGAAAACAAGGAAAAAAAAATATTCTGAGCCAATGGACTGCGGACGCACTACAGGAGATGGCCAGAGGCTGCGGACGTAGGTACAGGACATGGCCAGAGGCTGCGGACGTAGGTACAGGACATGGCCAGAGGCTGCGGACGTAGGTACAGGACACGGCCAGAGGCTGCGGACACACTACAGGACACGGCCAGAGGCTGCGGACACACTACAGGACACGGCCAGAGGCTGCGGACACACTACAGGACACGGCCAGAGGCTGCGGACACACTACAGGACACGGCCAGAGGCTGCGGACACACTACAGGACACGGCCAGAGGCTGCGGACACACTACAGGACACGGCCAGAGGCTGCGGACACACTACAGGACATGGCCAGAGGCTGCGGGCACACTACAGGACATGGCAAGAGGCTGCGGGCACACTACAGGACATGGCCAGGGGCCATTCACAAAGCGCAGCACTTCATGTGCAGTGGGCACCCGGTTGTGAAGCTGCAAGCTGTCACAGCCAGGTGCCACACTGAAGATGCCCGTGCAAGGGAGAGAAGACGGCTGGTGAAAGCAGAACACCACTGGACTGAGGAACAGGTAGGACCGAGGAGCAGGTTCTTCTGCACAGTAGAGCCAAGCGGCCGGCCCGGTATTCTAACATGGCGGTGGCGGGAATACCGGGCCGGCCGCTCCATAAGACACACAGACATTTTCCCCTATTTTTTTGGGGGAAAGAATGCGTCTTATAGAGCAAAAAATAAGGCAAGTACCCGTAATAATGAATAAGCCATCTATTTGGAGATATCCTGTATACAAACTGGTTCAAAATATAAATGGCTTCCCTTGCAATTAGCTTAATTGATACTGAGAAAGGAATGACACATGATGTAGTTTTATTGTAATCTAAATATTGGCAAGTGTCTTTTATTTTTTTTTTTTCTTTTTGCAACAGCTAATACCATAGATAAATAAATATTCCTGCTTGGCTGTGTTTAGTGTAACTGTATAACAACACACTGTGGAATACAAGCCCTTTCCTGTAGTGTCAGGAGGAGGAGGGAGGAATAGTGTAGTTTGGTCAGGTAACAGCATACAGTTCATCCCCAGAGTCTCCTACAGAGACACAACATATAAACTTGGATTTCCTCTTCTTGTACAGCATCTAATAAACGTATGAGGGAATTCAACAGACACTCCATTGTGCTGAGATGTGGAGCACAATTCAGACTCCTTTAATCCATTTACTGGTACAAAGAGTATCTGTGGGATGGAGGAAGAGATTGTCTGTTCTATTTCTCGGCTTGGTCCCATGTATATCGGAAACAATAAACTCGTTGTGCATAGTAGAAAATTCTGCTCTCAGCAGCAAAACATCTGGAATGGAACAGAGCACAGGGTGCATGGCCTGCACCCATTACACTGACATTAGTCACAAAACAGAAAGGATCCCTTGCAGCCCGGATGGTACATCGAAGTAACTGTTTGATCCCCATTGTTATTCACACCAAGAGAAAGACGTGAAGAACCTTGGTACAATACATAATGAAGGTCTTGTAATCTCTGAGTAAGAAGACTTGTGGAAGTACACATATACATTTCATGAATCCAAGACAAATCCTGCAGTTGAATTTCTTAAACTGAGTAAGACAAGTTCCTGTATTTGCACTATTTATTCAAATCTGATTTCTCTTTGTTGTTGAAGAATGACTAATACAGAAATTGAAAGACTCCACAAGCACTGATGGCTATGGTCGGTGTGGTCATTTGATCATGTGGTGTAATTGTGGAAGTTATAAATAAGTATCTTCACTTTCTTTGGAGCACAAACTCTCGCTGGACTGATGCACATTTAAAGAGTTGTTTTGGGTTCCTTTGGCCAAGAGAGGCTGTACCGGTTCCTGCCGGTGATCTCTGTTCCCCTCGGTTCCATTTTCCTTTCCATTTTTCTCTTTCACAGCCCCATTGGACTGGTCAGCTTTTCCCTTACTCTTTTTCTTTTCAACTTTTTTTTTCTCTTTTTCAATCTTCTCCCTCTCCCTCATCTCCTTACTTCGCTGCTTTTCCTGTTCCTTCTCTTCATGTTTCTGCTCCTTGGTCTTCTTCCCACTGCTTGCATTGGATGGGAGGATGATGGAAGGGGAGTGCACCAAAGGCTTATGGCCTATAGGGTCAGCATCACTGATCGCTTTGGCCCCATGCATACGGGAAGGGGATTTGCACTGCAGCTCACCAAATTCTTCCTTCCACTTCTTTAGCTGGATCAAATGTTCACGTTCCACATCCCGCTCTGTGATGGGCAATTCCACAATCTTATGGGGGGAAAAAAAAAGAGAATAAACATACATTACCCTCAGAAATATTGAACTTTTACAAATATACACGGAGAAGATAAAACTCCAGTCAAGGCAATTTTCACCTGCCTTTCTTCTTACCTCTATAAAGGCATAGTTGGCAGTAGTAGTATTTTTATGATAAGGCAGAATAGGTAACCATCTAAACTGACATTACAACTTGTCTACATGATATGGCCATTGACATTAAGAAGAAGCAGATTATAAAAAAAATAAATGGAAAAACATATAGCAATAGAAGTTAAATAACAAACTTGTATAGTATATAAGCCCTAACAATTAACTGTTTCTCAGTTTTGGATAAAGTAGGGAAAGGTTAAAACCTATATCAGCTTTTTTTTGGCAATCTGTCTCTCTTCATTTCCCGTCTTGGAAACCGAACAGGAAAATGTGAAAGTCTATACAAAGTGAGGTTTGAGTAAGTGACAAAGGTCACCAATATCAAGGCGATTCTCCAAAAAAAGACACAAAATAAAAACTTGACAAGTGTCCCTAACTCCATCTAGAAAGAAAAGAGAAATGTTTTGGCTAGGGATAAACTTTAAACATAATATTGACAGCATGTTGTTATATCTGGTAGATACATCAAAAATATTTGTTGATCCTGCCAGAAACATCATGAGCCAATAACTTCCTGTGCTGCATCGTTACTAGTTATCACCGTTTCCAGCTCTCTCTGTGAACTCCAGAACACCTTCCATTTTTGTTGTGGAGCAAAGGGAAGGGTGTGTGTTCTCTGGTCTCCACACACTTCACGTCTTATCTTAGAGCGACAACCCTGCTTCTCCAAAGATACAGTACAGTGAGTGAGTGTTGTCATCATAGGACAGAAAGTGTCTTATTGGCAGAATCAGCATGTAAAAAATAAAATGAAGAAAAGCCAAAAAAAAAAGAGAACTAATGCACCCACTACAACTAAGGACTGGCAAGTTGCAATATTGCAAGTATGCAATATATTATATTTACATATTACTTTCGGATAAAGTGCATTTAGTTTGTTTGCCCCCCTTAAGCTGACCTAACTGATCTCACCCCCACCCTCCAGAGATGCAGACTTACCAGGGTTGACTCAGTTAGGTCAATTAAATCAGTTCCTGCCTGGCCTATAGTAGATTGACAGTTGGGCGGGACTCTCCTCCTTTCGGGTGGAAAAAATATGACATCCTGGCAATCAGTGGTAAGCTGTCTCCCTCGGACTCAGTGCATCATTGATCAAGGTAAAGAGCCAATGGCGTTGGCTCTTTACCATGGGATCAGCTATGTCCGATCACAGCTGATTACATGTAAATAAATACTGGGTATCGGTATTTCCTTTCCTCAGCACAGTCACTGTCTGCGGAAAGGAAAGCCAATAACCAAGTTTCCAGTGACAGGGCACATTTACACTGATAATCAGGGCACTGATCATCAGTGCCCTGATGATCAGTGCAGCCCCATTAGTGCCAATAAGTGCAGCATATCAGTGCCCATCAGTGCAGTCTCATCAGTGCCAATCAGTTCAGTGCTGCCTATCAATCATCAGTCTCATCAGCTCAAATCAGTGAAGAATAATATTTACCTATGCAAATTTTTTATAACAGAAACTAAGAAAAAGGTGTTTTTATTTTTTTCAAAAATTTCGGTCCTTTTTCATTTGTTTAGAAAAAAAAATTAAAAATCCAGTGGTGATTAATTACCATCAAAGAAACCTCTATCAATCTGTCTCAAAAAAAATTACAAAAACTTAATTTTGGTACAGTGTTGCATGACTGCCCAATTGCCACTCAAAGTATGACAGTGCTGAAAGCTGAAAATTAGACTGGACAGGAAGGGGGTAAAAGTGCAAACAATAAAGTATACTTATTTGAAGAACTGATATAAAATAGAGAAAACTCACTTCTTTGACCAACCCAGGACAAATTAAGCTATAATGAAGCCTGTCTTTTGCACCATACAAACCTATAGATACATGCTGCGGCATTACAATATCTTTGTTGTATCTTCTTCTATTTTATTGTCTGAACATTTGCTGTAACCTGGGGCCGTGAACCAGTCTCTCTTTTTTATGCATTTGTTATCTTGACAAAGTTAAAACCAAAAAAAATATATTGAAAAGAAAAAAAAAAGGGAAAACTCTGTAATCATCTTTGGGCCAGCAGATGCATCACTATTGACCAGTGAAATTCCACCAAAAGAATCTTAGGACCTACTGTACTGTTCCTTTACATATATAACATGCTCACCTCTGGGATAAGAAAAACCTTCCTGCATGTATTTTGGATCAATTGCTCTCAACTTCTCCATAGTTTCATACTGTCCCTGACATGATTTGAGCTTTTCGGTGGAGCCAATCGTATACTTAAGAAGGATAAGTGCAACTCGAAAGATGATTTTTACACCTGTAGATACAAATAAGTGTATAACAAATCAAGAATTTAAAAAAAAAGTGACAGTTTTAACATTCGCTATTAATCTGTTAAACTGAAGCAATGTACCATAAAAAGATAGCAATCAAAACTATGCCTGAAATATTAACACAATTCCAACCCTTTAACCTACATACAGAGCTATGTAAACTATTTCGATTCTTGAAGGCCAACAATAGCAACATGTTATCTCATGCACGAGGGCAGCAGGAGATGCCATCACAGTTATAGGGACACATGAAGCCGTTGTATCAGCTCTATGACATGAGAATGGATTTTTTTCCCAATGGAGATTTTACTTCAGCAAAAGGAAATCTGATTAGTTGTTATTGACTATGGCACCTTGTACTTAGTACTTTGTTACTTGCACTGTTTTTATGGCAAAGGTTTCAACAGAAAGTGCACCATAGCTCTATAGGAAATCAGAGAGTAAAAACCTTTACATATAAAAAGGAATCTTTTCTTAACACAAAGTTGTTGCCACTGCTCACGTCTCATTCTGTTAATTCTAGTTTTCTGGCTGTCAGGCTCACGCTAGGGCTTCCATATTTTGATTATGTATGCAGAGAAACACTTCTAACTTTGCTGATCTTTTGCGGAGTACAGTAGCTGAAGATTTACATAGACAAGGGGAGTAAACTACACATCACCACCACCACCACCACCACCACAATAAATTCCTCAGACTGACTTTATGTATATTATCTTGTATGCGTATTATTCAGGATTTCTATAGTACCAACAGTTTTCACAGTTCTTTACAATATACAGGGAGATGGTACAGTTACAATACATTTCAATATCAGAGGGTTATTAGTGTCTTGTAAATTCGCTTTCAACGAATTTCTCCTTACCGTGAGTACTCGCAGTTGGATGCGCAGAAATCCCCCATAAAGCTGTGCGAACTTCGCTTACCACGACTACAGCTAAACTCCACGATTACTGCGCCTCCAACTGGTTTAGCTCTGTTGAGATGTGGGGGAAATGGAGCTCCCGTTACCCAGGAATGATCACATGACACTCTCAGGTTGCAGTTGGAATTCGCTCTGAGACTGGTTTCAACCCCAGCCTCCTGTTTTATTACAAGCACACACACGCCCCCCCACGCAGGGGGGGGGGGGGTCAGGTCAATCCCCTCCCACAGAACAATGTATAGGGGGTGTCTATACACAGAATGTACATCCTGATTGGAGCGTAGCCTTTCCTTTTATCTATACTGGAAACCAGTTCTCCCCCCCTTTCCCATCATTTCCATGCTATCAGCTCCTACTAGTATGTCCATTCCCTGTACAAGCATCCCTTAGATTAAACAGTGTCAGTCTGTATCTGAATGGGCCCGATACGATCTTTATTAAAACACATCCATCCAGATACAGTTCAGGTCAGTAGTGGTTTGTAAGATATACATGAGCCTACACGCGGAGTTCGCACTGCCCGGCGCCTGGCTATACGAAGTCCATGTGGTACTATGCTGCTGATATGTGGATACAGGCCCGCAGCCTACCGCCGGCGGCATTCGCGTCGAATGCCGTGGTGGTATACACGCCGGTCTATAAGCGCAGATCTGCCATCTCATCCATTACCGAGCTGAGTACTGTAATACATACATTGTACATGCGCATGGCCCAATTGCAGCCTTCAGAGCTTTAATTAAGCCACACGAGAGACATATGGATAACACTAATATATGACACATTTAAAGTTCAACCTGTAAATAGAAAGTTTCCATGACATTAGGGTCCTGCTTGTGACAGCTTACAATATAATAGTATCACTGTCAACCATTTTGGGGCCACAGAGGCCCTAAGTCTAAACAAAAGGGAAAAATAAATTATGTACGCATACATGTTTTTACGCATTTAAAAATGCATGTATACACAAGTATTTTGTTGAATATTATGCTGGAACTTTGTTTCTACTGGTGACTTAACCATAAAGTTGGAGTGTTGAAAGTTCCATCCCATCTGTACACTTTAGGCTTCGTTTACATGGCCATGAAAAAAAAAAAATATGCATGTACAAGTGTTTAATTATGGACTTGAACACAGCTGCATTGTTTTTAATGAAGGAATGTAAACAAGCAGTGCATTTGGATCTGTAACATAGAATCCAAAAATCTGTGTCTAAGAACATGCTTTTTACACACGTACTCATATAAAAACGCATGTACAGTTGTGTTCAAAATAATAGCAGTCAGACATCACTAACCTGATCAATCACTGTTTTTGGTAGAAATGATATTGCTACATGGCAAATAATTTACTAGCAGGTGTAGTAGAGTAATAGAAATCCAACAGACCCAACAGTCATGACATGCATGCTGTTGATTCTGTGTAATTGAATCACTAATTGAAAGGGGCATGTTCAAAATAATAGCAGTGTGGAGTTCTATTAGTGAGGTCATTCATTCTTTGAAAAACAGGTGGCAATTATTGCCCTTATTTAAGGAAGGAAGGCAGCAAATGTTGTACATGCTGGTTACAGTGCATTTCTCTCTGAATTTCTGAGGAAAATGGGTCGTTCCAGACATTGTTCAGAAGAACAGCGTACCTTGATTAAAAAGTTGATTGGACAGGGGAAAACATGTAAAGAAGTGCAGAAAATGATAGGCTGCTCAGCTAAAAGGATCGCAAATGCTTTAAAATGGCAACCAAAACCTGAAAGACGTAGAAGAAAGCGAAAAACTACCATTCAAATGGATAGAAGAATAGCCAAAATGGCAAGGACTCAGCCAACAATCAGCTCCAGGAAGATCAAAGAAGGTCTAAAGTTACCTGTGAGTACTGTTACAATTAGAAGACGCCTATGTGAAGCCAAGCTATCTGCAAGAAGCCCCCGCAAAGTCCCACTGTTGAAAAAAAGACGTGCTGAAGAGGTTAAAATTTGCCAAAGAGCACATTGACTGGCCTAAAGAGAAATGGAGCAACATTTTGTGGACTGATGAAAGTAAGATTGTTCTTTTTGTGTCTAGTGGCCGGAGACAGTTTGTCAGACGACCCCCAAACACTGAATTCAAGCCACAGTACACTGTGAAGACAGTGAAGCATGGTTGTGCAAGCATCATGATATGGGGATGTTTCTCATACTACGGTGTTGGGCCTATTTATCGCATACCAGGGATCATGGATCAGTTTGAATACATCAGAATACTTGAAGAGGTCATGCTGCCTTATGCTGAAGAGGAAATGCCCTTGAAATGGGTGTTCCAACAAGACAACGACCCCAAACACACCAGTAAACGTGCAACATCTTGGTTCCAGACCAACAAGATTGACGTTATGGAGTGACCAGCCCAATCCCCGGATCTTAATCCAATAGAAAACTTGTGGGGTGACATCAAAAATGCAGTTTCTGAGGCAAAACCAAGAAATAAAGAAGAACTGTGGAATGTAGTCCAATCATCCTGGGCTGGAATACCTGTTCACAGGTGCCAGAAGTTGGTTGACTCCATGCAACACAGATGTACAGCAGTTCTCAGAAACAGTGCTTATACAACTAAATATTAATTAAGTGATTCAAAGGAAAGCAAAATCTTCAAACATTTTTCAGTTTATATAGTGAATGTTTGAGTTTGTAAAGAAGAATACAAACACTGCTATTATTCACTTTTCTTCAATTTTATTAGAGGAACAACACAAATTTGATATATTTTTCTTCATGTTTTGATTTGGAATAGAATGTGTAGTGTTCCCAATGCATTTGTGTGTATGGAAATAAAAGCTATCAGAAGGATTTTGATCTTTAATCACTTTAACACACTGCTATTATTTTCAACACAACTGTATATGCATTTGTAAATGTGTAAATTAAGGGCTCTTTCACACGTGAGTTCTGTTTCCAGATGAAAAACGGACACCCATGCATTTCTATGGACTAGCAGATATAAACGGATGATCATCTGTTTACATCCGTTAATGTTTGCATCAGTTAACATCAGGTTTTGGGTTTTTTTTTACCGGAAGAAAAACTTATTTTTCTTCCATCAAAAACCCCAGAACGGACAAATAAATGTATGTAAAAACGGACATGCGGTTCGTTTGTGCATTGGTAAAGGATGTAAAAAAAAAACCAGATGTAAACTGATAAAAAACTGATGTGAACTGGTCCATTTTTTTCTTGGAAAAAATGTGACTGAACTGATGAAAAAAAAAAAAATGGAACGCCCGTGTGAAATGACCCCAAGTCTAAACAAAAGGGAAAAATAAAATGATGTACGCATACACTTTTTTACGCATTTAACTGCAAGTATACATACGTATTTTATTGAATATTATGCTGGAACTTTTCTCCTAGAAAACACGTGTAATAACAGCAGTAAATTTTTTAAGGCTGTCTAAATGAAGCCATTGGTATTGAAAGACCAGATCAGCAATGAGGGTGCAGTAGTCATAGGGATGGTGTCACAACAACTGAACATACTGAATATATCTGATCAAAGCAAACTGCCTAAAACAGAATAAATATAACAAATCACCAGCACACCAGAATTTTCCACACTCCAACTTTATTGTTGAGTTACCAGTGGAAACAACAATGATTATTTTTTTGCATTTTTCTATCACAGTTGTGACCAGAGTGACTTTGGGTGGGGGGCCCATGGAACACAGCCCCCTTTGGAGAGGTGGGGAGACCACTGTCTCAGCTCCCCATATTCCTATTATGTGTAAGTCACCCTGTGCCTGTTAGGGGTACAGGATGATCTGTCCTAATATTGTGTAGACATGTATAAGTGGGGGGTGGGGGTTGTCCATTGTTCACTGCCAGGTGCTGCATCCCATTGTTCTATTGTGTGTCTTGAGAGCAAACTGTTATGGGATATATGGGTTTGTGTATTGTCTATTGCCACCTGGTGTATCCCATTGTTCTAATGTGTTTGTACTGGCTTGGTGGGGGGTGTTTCCGGCAACCCTTCCCCCTGATGGGACGGCCTGCTGATGTGTTTCCTGTTACTGGTTGTATTTCCCCGCCCTGTG